AAAAAAAAAAAAAAAAACCTTTGAACTACGTTTGACTTGATCCCCAAAAAGGGTACGTAGGCAGCTTGGTGTTTTTTCCAAGTTCAGTCAAATTCTTAAAATAAATTTAAGTTTGCTTTTGATTATGGTTCATTTCAAGTGTCCAACAAAGGGAGAAATGTCTATGTCAAGCAAAGAAAGCAAAGCAAAGAGAACAACAAAAGTGAAGAAAATGCATCTTATTTATTCACAAAGTGGCTAAAGCCCAAATTTGACAAGTCTTTGAAAAGGAATGCTCAAAGTCTAAAAAGGGGAAAGAATACAAAATGAACAACATCACATGTTGTTTTCAAACCAAGTTCCCTTTGCAATGGCTTCAAACTCACTTTCAAGGTCTTGTCGCATCTTCTCCACTTCAGCGACTGTCTCAACAGCTACAACTTTGGAGTTTTCCAATTCTATCAATTTTGCTTGGTTGGACTGAAGTTGTTCTTCTGCTGTCTGCCTCTTGTCAAGGAGCAAATCAAGTGTGGAAGTCACATCACTATGTTGCTGCTCAACTGATTCTAGCTCCTTCTTCAAACTTTCAATCTTACTCTCTAAGGATCCCTTCTTCTTGGTGAGTTCATTGATTTCCTTTGAAAGAGAGTCATGGACGATTTGATTTGATGATATCCCCTTCTGTAAGGTAGCAAGAGATTTATCTCTTTCTTCAACATCCAAGCCAGTGGAGACCTCATCTCGTTTTGCTAAGTAAAGATTTACCTTAGATAGGTAAGCATCCATCGTCTTGAGTAAAGGTCCAACATCCATGCGGAAATAGAGTTGGAGTGCTTCTGAAATTGCAGAAGATCGCTCTGCCCACCACTGTCCAAGCCCAGAAAAGCCATTCTGCAAGCCTCGTGAAAATTCCTCTTGCACATAGTTACTCATAGCTTTAAAAAGGATGGGCTTCACCAGTGCTTGAGAGCTAATTGGTTCCAAAGGCTTTGTGATGCAAGAGAATGTAGGCTTAAGTTTCAGTGGATTAGATGATGTCATGGCAGGAGGATTAAGTCCAACGATTTCCTTCACACTTGGTTGTCTGTCATGAGAGTCAACTTCCCCATCTTCGGCAGTTCCTTGCTCACCAACATTTAAGGATAGAACTCCTCCATCAATTTGACTTGGAAGTGATCCAAGTATCTCAAGAGTGTCTGTCTCGAGAAAATCATCTAGAGCACCAATCATCTCTTCATCTCCTGGTAGTCCTCTTAATTCTGGGGAGCTAAATATTTCTGAAAAAAAAAAAAAAAAGTCAATAACAAAAGAGGAAGATTTTCTTTAAAAGGAGAGGAAATGTGCTTACCTTCATACAAAGCTTGACGGGTGGTTTGCTGGGCAGCAGGCGTAGAAAGTGAATGTTGTAAAGAGTCTGGCTCTCTTTGAGGACTTCTGTTGCATTTTTGCTTCTTTGAAGATGGACTAGGGTCATCAGCATTATTTCGCTTCTGTGAGGGAGACAATAGTGCTTGAAGCTGTTTCCCCTTCCCTTGAGGTCTGATTACTGTGCTCTTCATTAAGGATGGGATGAAATTTCTAGCCTCGCTAGCCTTCAAGAATTGGATGCTCATTGCAGAAATTGAAGGAAAAACTTCTTCATTCCACCACTTCACATAAGCTGGGTCAACCCTAGATGTTACTCCGCCTTCAACTGAGGGGATATGAAGAAATGTGTTGCTATGTACTCGGGTTAAAGATAACCAAAAGCGATAAAGATCTGACACTTCACCACCATGAGGCAATTTGACATGTCTTCCTGGAAGTCTTTGTTGAAATCCATGCTGTCTAGCAAATCGGTGAGGATTATAAGACTTCTTTGTGAAGCGGCCTTCTTGGCGAAGCACCACATAACCTGCTCTGATGCTCACCATGAAATCCAAAGTGTCAGCCCGTCGTTGTCCATCATCAACTCGAGGTCCAGGGTGGGTTGGTAAAGGCACTGGAGTCCAACAAAAGTCGTCTGAGGATAAATTACCTCGTAAAACTGCACGACAATCTGCTACCTTTGGTTCCCAAGGCTGGTAGGCATTCAAAATCCCACGAAATTGCCGAACCATAGGTAGAGAAGCTTCATATCTAGCTGCAAAAGTCTTGTGGGGGAAATGCAAACCAATCCAAGCATATAAATAATGTCCAGGAAAAGGAGGAGTTTCAGTTGCATGTACCCATGAACCTTCAGGTACTTTTGTCAATTGTCCAAGTCCACGATAGATGCATGCCAAGATAGGAGGAACCAAGCTATAGGTAACACCGATTGCCATTTGGGCTGCAGCTTTGAAAGTTCCGACTCTAACAAATTCTTCCCCATCTGGAAAAACAAATCTACCAAGCCAAACACAAAGATAAGCAGCAATTAAAAGTTTTTCTCTATCATTTACCTCCAAAGTAACATCCAACATGCCAAGTCGATCCCATTGTTCTGGTACACCCCTAAGTTTCCTCTCATGTCCGAATGTCCATTTCAATGGGCGGTCAAGTTTAGGAACTGAAATCACATTCCCATTGCCATCATACTTCAACTCGGACATATCTAAATATCGTTTGCTCTTGAATGGATCGGCATAGGGTGGGTTACGATTATACCAGAAGTCGAGCCAATCAGCGTAAGTTACACGCTCAGAATTCTCCCTTTGGACGATCGTGGCAAATGCTTTAAATAGAAGTAAGTAGTAAGGTGGTAAGTCCTCTGTGAGTTCTTTGTAACTTGGAATCACCTCCTCGTAGTAGGCTCCTCGAATTGACAAGCCAGAAATATCTCGCATCTCTAGGAGAGAAATTCCAACCTCTCCTGCAGAAGTTAAAAAGGTATTTGTACTAGGAGACCATACCTCAATGAGGGCACGAAGCATACTCGAAGGACAACAATAGTCATTATTGGCCAATGACACTGCATCTGCTAAAGCTCCCATCTTGTGACGACTTAGCATCTTGGCTGTGTAGTTTGACCAATCCCAGAAGCCACTTAGGAATGGTATCTTTCCCAAATGATCAATGGATTCACACCATTTGCTCGCTCCTCGACCAATCGACTGTGTTACGACTGCTTTTGGTGTTGCATGTTCAGTCACATGATTGGATGGAAGCACCAAGGAGGGGAGAGATCCAGCATGGCTTGCTGTTGAAGCTTTTCCTTCCGAGGTCACATATTCACACAACTTGGGCATCTCTAATGCAGGTAGATGAGAAAGTCCTTCGATGGCATAAGGACCACTGGTTGACTCAAGCACCATAAGTTGAAGCTCTTTAGCCTCTGACGAAGAAGAAGACCGTATGTGAGTTGACGGGAAGCGCAAGAATTGCCCCGCCTCTTCAAGGTTGGACGAATCAGCAATCCAATCACCTTGCAACACCGTAACGACGGAAATCATCTCGGAAGTAGGTCTTCGATTTGGAGCCATGTCTACATAAAGTCATACACAAAAGGCCAAATTATTCATGTTAAGTTCATGAATTAAACACAAAGTGGTGCATGCAGCAAGAATTTTGGGGCCAAGACTTGTTGAGTCTAAGAAAAAATGCTACTCCAGTTGTTGCCTATGGGAAGGACTTGATTGGGGCAAATCACAAATTAAGTGACTAAATCACAAAATTATAGAAAGTTGGAGGGCAGCAGTAAAAAAAAAGGGGTTCAAGGATCGGATTGCAGTTTTTCCAAAAAAAAAAAAGGAGGAAAATTTTGCATTATTCTTGAAGAAAACCCGACACGGACAAACTTGATATGCATGAACAGAGTGTTGACACCTTGATTTCTGTGTTGGCCCTTATGTAAATGATTTTGATCCCAATAATACTGGACTATACAGGAAAGGAGGCCCAAATGAAAGACTGCATTCTGTCAGTTTTAAAAAATGGAACAATCTTCACTGGATTATATTGTGGGAGAATAGTGCATAAAATTTTTCAAAAAAAAAAAAATCACAACATCTGGGTAACTAAATGTATGAAAAAAAAAAAAAAAAAAGGGGTGTAGCGTTAAAAAGGGCCAAATGGGAGCAGGTGGAGGCTTTTTGTTTATGCAATACCGTGCATGTCTATTTCAAGTCAAAAAGTGCAGCAAGACAGCACAGAGAAAAAAAGGCTGCCGACTGTCAAAGCAAAATTATAGCAGCATGTAGAAAAAAAAAGGGAAGAGAAACAGGAAAAAATTGACATGTTTTTTTTGCATCATACGAAACAGAATTTGGTATAGGCTAAAAGGACTAGCAAAAGACAACATACCTGTCACTTGGATACACTTCAAGATGACTTTGCACAACAGATTGCTTCCGGCTTCACTGTTTGAGGGGGTGCTGTCCTACATCATTAAGAAAGTGAAATTAAATATTTGTAAAGGGGCCTATGGCAAGCCTATCAGAGTCACCAATTAGAAGAATAAAATAAGGTGCAGTGGAGGATACTCACGTTGATGCTGCAGCAATGGTGACAATGAAGAATCAAGGTGAAACTACCCCAAAATTGCTCTAAAAAGGGAAAAGGTCGAACAGCCCCAAATTAGAGAATGTGACCACTGCTGTTGCACTGAGAGGGACGCAAAAGTCTGAAGCTCTGTTCTGAAATTCTGAAGCTCTACTCCTGAAGCTCTGAAGCTCTGTTCCTGAAACTTTGAAGCTCTATTCCTGAAGCTCTACTCCTGGCTGAAGACGCTCTTGCTGCGTTTGCTCTTCCAAAAGACTCAATTTATAGAAGCATCAAGATAGAGTTTTGGATAGAAGTTGATCCAAATTTTTCTTTAAAATTCAAAGTCCTATTTCAAATATAAGATTGATTTGCAGATAAAAGGATGAGATACAGCTAAGGAGAGGGAGTTTGAGTTGGAATGAACTTCCGCCAACGGATGAGCGCGAAAAAAAAAAAAAGGAACAAGACGGTCCGTAAACGGACTCTGAAGAACGGATGAGGCCAGGAGGTCCGTAAATGGGCTAAGGCCGGTGAAAAAAAAAAGGAGAGAAAAAAAGAAAAAGAAAAAGAAGAGTCCGTAAATGGGTTTTAAAAAAAGGGGTCCGTAAATGGGCTTAAAAAAAAAAAAAGGAGGGAGATATTTGTTAAAATTTCACTCATTTCTTTTGAGTAGTGGACATCAAAAATTAATTTACTTTTGCATAAAATAATGCAAGTAAATTAATTTTGAGGGGGCATTTGTAGGCATTAAAAAAAATGTCAAAAATTTAAAATATATTTACCCTAGTAAAATCTTAGAAGTTAGGGTAATAAATCTTTAAAGAGATATTATCTCTTTAATTTTAAAAATAATAATAAATAAATATATTAAAATGACCAAATTATCCTTAAAGTGAAGGACATTTGAGGTCATTTGGCAACATCCCTTTGCCTATAAATAGGCCATCATTTGATGAGAAAAGGAAGA